TCCTGGTAGTTAAGCCGAGATGATCTCGGAATTGCCGAGGTTATCCCTGAAATAGGCACAGCATCCTCAGCTTCGGCATCTGTAGCCTTGGCCTTAGGCTGAGCCTTTTTTACCCTCTTCGGTTTGGGTGGAAGCGTTGATTGCGTTGGTGCGGCTTCGGCGTCAGTTGGAAGGTCGGCAAGAAGGTCTTGGACGACAGGCCTTGGACGAACCATTTCGGCAGTCTTTACGAGCTTTCGTCGGCGTCTACGTTCAGAAACTGGTATTAAGTAGGGGGCCGAAGTTGATGGAAGATCGGCTGGGTCAGATGTGGACTCTTGATCTGTTCGGGATGTAGAAGCAGTTAAGGTTGTGGCTGTCGGTGGAGAGAGACTCTTCTTCCTTTTTCTTGGGACGTCGGGTAAGGTGGATTTGTATGTAGGAATGAAGTTTAGTAATACTGGGGCTTTTCGTTTATGGATTGGAAGGCCAAGAAGTGTTTTCAGATCTGTTCCTGGGAAGAAGGATTGACGAAAATTTTTCGGTGGCTGATGAAGATCTGCAAAGAAACAGACGTCAGAAACAAAAAGTATTAAAGTCTTAAATAAAAACAACTAAGTATTGACTCAGGGCTCTTACTCTTGCCCTCTGTAATCGTTCGAGGAAGAGGGTAGAGGTGGACATCTTCATCTGGGCCAAATTCCCAATTTCCAGAAGCAATGAGAAAATCATCTCCAGCCCCCTTGTTGGAGTCTGGGAGGTCGGCTATAATTTTGTACTGAGTGGATCTCGGATTAAGGTAATAGACAAAACCCCTATCCTTCAGATCAAGAGGGCACATGGTATAACAATATTGAAGGTCGGCTAGGGTGATTCTAAGGTTTTCTTGCCTAGCCATTTGATAGATACCGTTAATTACCCTATAGGAATTGAGAGTAAGTTGCATAGGGTTCAGCTTATAGAAATGGAGAACTTGACGAAAAAGGGGATCAAGTGGAAGCCGAAGTCCACATTCGGTAAAAGCAACTATTGGAAAAGGCATTGTATGGTCTGTGGGTACGATGGTATCATTATCCCCAGCCAGCTTAAGATGAACGTCGGCTGGGATAAAAAATTCTTGCCTAAAGTATTCAAGTTTTGTTGGGGTATTTACCCTATGCCTCCACATACCCATTATGTTGGATTAAACTAAAAGGAATATGTTTCAGAAGATGGGCGTTTTTCAGGTTTCCCTAAAGATTAAGGGTTCTACAGACAAATCCCAAATCTATGAAGTATGAAGATAAAAATCGAGGGCACAGATCTGGGGCAGATACAAAAAAAAAAAGAAAACAAAGACGAAGTTTCAGATTCAAGAACAGAGGTATAGTTCTCAGAAACAATAGAGATACAGAAACAAATCAAGAACAGCGGCAAAGAGAATGATGAAAAAAAACATAGAAGTTCAAGGCATAGCCACAAATTCAAGATACAAATATATTCAAGACCTCGAACAAAGATCAGTAATGGAAACAGACAGACAAAAGCACATAAAGAGAATGGAAGAATTAAAGAAGAGGGTCTTACCAGGACAAATGAAGCCGAGGCAGTGCTCGCCGAACCCAGAAATTGATTACAACAGCAAAAAAGGCTTTGCAAGAATGAGGGATTAAGCGCAGTTCCAGAAGAGAAATTGAAGCGATGGCAGATTCAAAGAAGAATGAACTTTCAGAGAGAGAAAGAGCAAGAAGACGAAAAAGTGAAGAAAAAATAGAGGCAAAAGAAAAGTTTGTCAAAAATTTGAAACGGCGGCAAAAATAGGGCAATTATTGCGCCTAGAGCAACGCACGCGTCAGACGGCGCAGACGAAATGAACAGACAGCTTCAGGCGCGTCACTGGTACGCTCCAATAAAGACGAAACACGTAAAAGAAACAGTTAGATATGCATGACAGCTCATGCGCGTGGGAGAGTACGACCGAAACCTTGTTCTCCGAAGAGAACACGTCGGCTGAAAGTAGATAAACTTGGCTAAATAGTTTTTAAGCCATTACTCAGAAAAGAAGTGACAAAATTTCGGAATAGGTTCCATCACCTCAGAATGCCGAGGTAATAGAACCTAGGGGGCAGTTGTGGGGATATATTTTCTGAATACCAACACGTGGCATGGTGACGCCAACGTGTCAGCCGAGATGTCACGTGCCTTGGTAGTTAAGCCGAGGTAATCTCGGAGAAGCCGAGGTCATCTCCGAAGGTGTCGGAATCCGAGATAAGGGGCAAGAGTCCTAAGGCACAGAGGGGACTGAATCAAGATAAGGATAAAACTCTCAAGGAGTTTATCTTTATCACTTAAAGGAGTCCAGAGTAAACAGTGAACTAGAGTTCATAGAAGTCATACTTCTAGTGGGACTTGGATTGAGTATATTATAAAAGAGAGGCACCCCCGTGGGTCTAAGGTATGCAATTTATACTATGAGTATTCAGTTTAGTAATTGATTATCTTTGAGAGATATACTGACTTGGTCGTCAGAGTGCCCCCGGGTGGAAGAACTACCGCCGGAGCTTTTTCTTTCTGTTTCAGGTTACTTAAGCCATCTATTCTGCTTGTGCTCTCCAGCTGATCACTAAACGGGCAGTGTGGTCAGATTTTCACCCACACAATTTGGCGCCGTCTGTGGGAACGAAGGAAGAATAGATGGCCAGTAACGGACAGCAGGAAAATATTGGGGATGACGCTCCCACTGGGAGTGGCAGACCAATTAACCTTGACATCGAAGGAGATAACCACATTGCAGAAGCCCGTGACCAGGGTCACAGAGAGAACGACGTCATCCCAGAAGGCGACACGTCAAAAAGAGCAAACCAAGGAAAGTACTACAATGAAGATAACCTCCAGGTATGGAGGGACATTTGATAACTGACCCGTCAGAGAATTTTGCCTCTAAGTCATTGAATTCTTGGTACAGAATATGCCGTCCAGGAATTACAGCGCTATGGAGGGAAGAATAAATAGGTTTAGTGGTTTATGAAGGTATCATTTAATATACCTGGAATGGAAGAAGGGGCGTAAAAGAAACCTGCTTGCTAACTATTGCTCCAATTTGACTTCCTCGAAGATGGCTGTGGAAGTACTGCTCAGATTCCTCATCAGAAACTTTCTCCAGAAATCCTTCCACTCTTGCCTAGAAATCACATTATCATTTAATTTGGTCTTTAAACTTGATTTTAAGAGGTATGGCATTATTTAGGTATTCTTCTCATCATAACTATTATCACTATAAACAAAAAACATTTGATAATTGAAGAGATATGAATTATTAGGTTAATAAACTTTTGCCTGAAAACCACAAGCTAATGGTTTTCACAGTTTAGTGCAATGTTCATACTCATCCACGGTGTTCCACCTGCAGTATTCTCACCAATGGCTAGACCAAAAGGGTTTTTGGTTGTGTATTCTCAGTTAAGATGTCATAGGCAGCAAAATTAATGGTATTATGGAAATCCAACACAATATGCCCTCCTCAACCATAATTTCGCCTTTCCTTTTCGGAGGTCTAACCGTAAGTGTAAAGTTCCATTTTTCTTGTTCAAGTAAGTAGATATGTTAAATGCCCTAGCTAGGGCAGCATCTCAATATTATTCAACCAAAAGCCATTGCCAGCTTCCTGTTTATACCAACTGAAAAATTAAATAGATAGACAAGCAAAGCAACATTTTTCTTTTCCCAGATAAGAACCTATATTTCAAATTTAGGGAGGGGAAGAGGGAGAGACCACTATAAAACCCACTACAAATCCTCTGTAAAACCCAAACTAAATCCAAACTGAACCCACTACGAATCCTCTGTAGAATTTCAAGATTCATATCATTTTATCCAGATAATCCATACAAATTAGAGATTTGAGCTATTTACTCACAATTATCAGTCAGATCAGATCTCTATTTCAAAAATAGAGATCATGATTCCAAAATGAAAAGAATTTATTTAACCACCATTTGTTTATTCTGACAAGGCTTAAGATATCATTACAAGTCCAACGCAAATTAAAAACATTTTCTATTTTAAAAGGAACATGAACATAAAAGCACTCTACTTACAGACCCGTTTGCTTTATAATTGTTTGATGGAATTAGGGAAGGGGGGGAACAAGTTTACCTGGCGATGTAGACCATCCCAGTAAAATAGCAGTGACGCATGAGGATTTTCAGATATTTCATAAGCCTTTCGGCTTTCATAATTGGTGTACCTGCATGATTAAATAATACGAATGGAAATAATCAGCATTTAGAAAACCATCTTAACTATGATCAATATGCGAAAGTCAAAGTTGATCTCTAGCCAGACAAAACCGTCTTTATCAACTCCTTTTAGCAATACCATACATGATGAACTGCATTAAAGAATAACATGATGTGTGGTAAATTTGAAATGGTTAACAAATTTTACTAAAAAAATAATGCATTATCCATCTAGACATTTAAAATTATACTTCCTCAAAATAACAAATTATGAATATCATCACATCCTAATACACTTCTGTGGAGACTGTAAGTTTCTGAAGAGTATTGCATATTCAAATTGTGTATTGATTACATCAAGACCTTAGTTTATATAACCCTAACGCCTAAACCAAACAAGGAAATACAACCATAAAAGGAAATACAACCATACTACCTAATCATGCCTAATATTATATACACAATCATGCCTAATATAGACGAGCATATTCTCATACCCCTGCTCAAACTGATGGTGTTTTAGCCGAAAACACGGAAAGTTTGTCAAGAAGAAATCGAAAATGAGTAGTAGTATGAGTCTTGGTGAAGAAGTCAACAAGCTGTAGAACCCAAGGGACAAAACAAAGCGAGATAGAGCCAGACTGTAAGTGCTGACGGACGAAGTGACAATCAATCTCAATGTACTTCGTTCGTTCATGGAAAATAGTGTTATGGGCAATCTAAATAGCACTTCGGTTCTCACAATCGAGAGAGGTCTGAGAGGACTGAGGACAGCCCAAGTCAAAGAGAAGACAACGAAGCCAGAAAACCTCAGCAGTAGCATGAGCTATAGCAAGGTATTCAACTTCAGCAATAGAACAGGCAACAACAGTTTGTTCTTACTTTTTCAAGATATCAAGGAATCACCAAGAAACAGACAGAAACCAGAAGTGGACTTACTATTAATAACATTACCAGTCCAATCAGCATCAGCATTAGTATCAACATAAGCATAAGCCACCAAATCCAAGGAAGAAGTAGAAGACAACAAGAAGTCTTAGAAGATAGTACCGCGGAAATAGCGAAGAATCCGAACCAAAGTAGCCCAATGCGGAAAGCGATGAGCAAAAACGAACTGGCTAACCACATGAACAACATAGGCAAGATCAGGGCGAGTAACGGTCAAATAGACTAAGCAGCCCACAAGCTCATGATACAAAGTCGAATTATCTAGTGGGACACCATCAGTAGTGTTAAGCTTCACATTAAGCTCAATGGGGGTATTAGAAATCTTAGTGTCAGTAAGACTGGCATGGTGAATAGCCTTATTGGCATACTTGACCTGAGACAGAAAGTAACTCTTGGAAGAAAAAACGACCACAATACCAAGAAAATACCGCAATGGTCCCAGATCTTTCATTTCGAAAATGCCGAAGAGATGCTGCTTAACCTCAGAGATAGCAGAAGCGTTAGAGCCAGTAATGATCATATCATCTACATATAGTATTAAGGCAACAAAACCAGCAGAGGTGTGGAAGAGAAACAAGGCAGAGTCTTGGTCACACGGATGAAACCCAAGCTCAGTAACAGTGGTCTAAAAACGATCATACCAAGCACAAGGAGATTGCTTCAAACTATACAGAGCACGCCGAAGACGACAAACAAGGCCAGAGGAATGAGGAAGACCAGGGGGAGGACACATGTAAATCTCCTCAATGAGATGGCCATCAAGAAAAGCATTCTTAACATCCATCTGGTAAAGAGGCCAGTGACGAACAACAGCAACAGAGATCAAAGTACAAACAGTGGTCATCTTGGCAACAGGGGCAAAGGTCTCCTCATAATCAATACCATACTCCTGTGAGAAACTTTTGGCAACTAGGTGAGCTTTGTAGCACTCAAAAGAACCATCAGAGTGAGTCTTGACTTTGTAGACCCATTTGCAACCAACCAAATTCTTACCAGCAGGCAAAGGAACTAACTCTCAAGTACTAGTTTTCTGCAAAGTAGACAACTCATCCTCCATAACTCGAATCCAAAGAGGATCCTGGCAGACTTCCTTGTAAGACTGAGGTTCTGAAAAAGAATGAATAGTAGACAAAAAAGTACGATAAGAAATAAAAAAACATGTGTTAGAGCAACCCAACCTGTTTGGAGGATGACGCTCTCGAGTAGGATATTGGTGTGTAGCAGGATCAGAGTCTTCAGAAGTAGAAGAGACAGCAACCGAGGTAGAGACAACTGGTAGAGGGGGAGCCTTGCGACAAGATTAAACTAGCAACGGAAGAGGAAAAGAAGCTGAAGGAGGAGAAGTAGCCAAAGGGGAAGATAGAGCAAGTTCAGGAGGAACAGTAGAGATATACTCATCAGACGAGACCTCTGAAGGAAATGGGTCAATGAGAACCAAATCCGCTTTTGAAACTGGAGCAGTGAGAGGGGAAAGCTGAAAGCAAAACAGACGTTCTAAGAAGGCAACATGACGGGAGACATAAAGTCAGCGAAAAATAGGATCGTAACAACGATAGCCCTTCTAAGTAAGACTATAACCCAAAAAGACACACAGGACAGAACGGGCACTAAGTTTTGTCCTATCTTTCCGAGGAAGAAGAACGAAGCATGCAGACCCAAAAACACGAAGGAGAGAGTAATTGGGAAATTGGGAAAACAAAGCCTCATAAAGAAAACGACCAGAGAGTAAGGGGTAGGCATACGGTTGAGAAGAAAAGCAACTGTAAGAACTGCTTCCCCCCAAAAGGGAGCTGGAACAGAAGGAGAAAAAAGGAGAGATCTAGCTGTCTCAAGGAGATGACGGTGTTTATGCCCAGCACGACCATTTTGGGCTATCAGTACAGGAAGTTTGATAAATGGTACTCAAAGTGGCCAGATACTCACAGAACTTAGTTTTAAAATACTTTCCGCCTAAGTCAAACCATAACAATTTAATTGTAGCCCCAAACTATATAATGATCATAGACTGAAATGTATGGTATATTTGGTAGAAGTCAGATTTATGAGTCATAAGATAAACCCAAGTACAGCGAGTGCAATCATCAACAAAAGACGCATAGTAAGTGGAACCCTCTTTAGTGAGAACAGGAGAGGATCCCCAAACATCAATATGCACAAGAGAAAATGGAAAAATAAAAATAGAAGTACTTTTATTAAATAGTAAAGCTGACATTTTAGCAAGTTTACACCCCCGACATTCATCAATTTGACTAGGAGAAACTTTACCCAACACTCCGGACTAAGCTAAAGACCGTAAGCGATCAACAGACAAATGACCTAGGCGACAATGCCATAAATAAAACTGACTCGACTGAGAATCTAACTAAAACAAGGAAAGCGCAACTGGAGAGGTGGATAAAGGGAAATGCAAACTTTTTACCACATAGAGGTCTCCAACTCTACGACCGGTCCCAATCTGCTTCTTGGATACCCGATCCTGCGCACAACAGACAGAAGAAGAAAAGATAACATCAAAGCCAGAAGTATCAAGTTGACTGATAGATAATAAACTTATAGATAATTGAGGGACATAAAGAATAAAGGAATAGTAACAGTAAACATAGCAGAGGGTAAAACAGGCCCAATAGACAGAACCAACATACCAGACCCATTAACAGTATTAATAGTAATAGGAACGGGTAGGAGAATACAATTTTGAAGTAAGGACAGGTGAGGAGTCATATGATGAGAGGCACCAGAATCAAAAAACTAAAGGACCCAAGCAAACCTAAATGAAAAGAGGTAAGAGCGGAGGCAAATGGGAATGACTGAGAGGTGGACAGGATATGCTAAAGTTGAGCAAGCTGAGCACTTAAGGAAGCCAAGTCAGGATCTAAAGTTAGAGCAGAAACAGTATAAGCAGCGGGAGGCTGGAAGGTACTTGGAGCAAGATTACGAAGCTGTGTCTGAGGTGGCTGGGACTGAGCAGGCTGACGTCCCTTCCTGAGACAGTTGTATTTCCAATAACTCCTTTGGTGGCAGAAAGCACACTTATCTGGACCTAATGGCCCCTTTTTGGGCTTTGCAGTGGCATGAAGTTGATAAGAAAAAGGGGTTGATAACAAATAAGGCTTAGCAGGAGCCAAGAAGACAAAGGGAGGTAAAATCTAACTGGCCATCTTAAGATGGGTTTCCTTGGAGAGGAGCTCACGAACAATAGCATCCACGTTGGGAAAAGGAGACCGACGAAGGATGCCACCACGGATAGCCTGATACTGAGGGAAAAGAGCCGTTAAGAACTGCACTAAACGACCCTACTCCCGAAACTCAACATAAGTGTCTAGTACCTTGAGGCTAAGTGGTTCCATGAGAGCCAATTGATCCTAGGGACCTGTCATCTCAATATAAAAATCCTGAATAGTCTGATCTCGTTGACGAGCACTCTGAATAATAGTTTCCAACTCATACCGATTGGCAAAGTTGGACTGCTGATCCCAGTAAATAATCCCACGCCTCCTTGGCAGTAGTGTATTTAGAAAACATTATTCCAATACGGTCATCCACAGAATTATGAAACCAGGTCAGAAAATTGGGCATTATCACAATCCCAAGTATCACAGGAAGTCAGATATCCTTCCGCCTTTGGGTCCAATGGACAAGGAACAGAACCAAAAACATAACCTTATTTTTTCTGACCAAGAATAAAGCTCTTCACAACACTGGCCCAATAGGTATAATTGTCACCAGTGAGTTTGCACTTGATGGCTTGGTTTTTAATGTTCAACATTATAATAAAACAAGGTTTATAGAATTAATGGGTCAAAATTGGTCAAAATTATAATATTGAGAAGGTGTTGTGCTGGGGTCAAATAGTAATAAACCTAAACTAGGTTTTAAGTGCACTAACCCAAACCAACCAAAGATCCTACGAGCAAAGAGAGCCCAATCGGAGAAGACCAGAGGTGTTGCGACTCCAGAACCAGAGAGAGCACAGTCGGGTCGCGACCACGGCTGCAATTTCAAATTGAGGTCGTTTGATGGCCACGGAGGTCGTCGATGGCCACGAACCAAAGACAGAACCAAAATGAAACGGTTGATTCAAACTTAGATGAGGACTAGGGTTTTGAATGCGGCTCTGATACCATATAAGTTTCTGAAGAGTATTGTATATTCAAATTGTGTATTGATTACATCAAGACCTTAGTTTATATAACCCTAACGCCTAAACCAAACAAGGAAATACAACCATGAAAGGAAATACAACCATACTACCTAATATATACACAATCATACCTAATATTATATACACAATCATGCCTAATATAGACGAGTATATTCTCACACGCTGATGAAATTGAAATGATATATAAAAGATCATTCCTACCTATCCACTATGTTAAATAACATAGATATGACTATCCAAATGTGGCATAATTTGGCAACTTTAAAACTTACTCTGACATTTTTCAAGAATGTGATTATTCAAATCAAATCTAACAAATAGGACACCTCAAATTTATCAATTTTGGTATGATCATGAATCATATTGCTAAGAACAGGCAAAGATTACATAACCCTAACAACAATGTCTCAAAAGAAAAAGATAAAAAAAACACATCTTTATAGTTACATATATGAATCTTCTATGATGCTCCATAATGGATCACAAGTGCAATGTGATAGACATAAACAAAAAAATAATAGAATCAGAAGAACCCATTTAGGAGCAAACAAAAAAGTAAGAACAGATTAATTTTTCAAATAACATGGGTGCTTCAGCTGTTCAGAAGTGTTCATGCAACTTCAATTACCATCAAGTATCAATGAATAAAGAAAGATAGTAAAACGAGAGAAACTTACGGTTTCCTATCTTTGCCAGCAGTTGATAAAGCCATAGCATTTGGTTCCCTCAAGCTTGCAGCCACTGCATCAGCAAACCATTTCTTGAACTGCAATACAACTAAATCCTTTATTGTGACAGAATAAAGGGGTTTTGCCAATAGATTTCACCAAATCACATAATACATCAATTTTCAAATATTAATTAAGCAATTTATACATCAGTATTGAAATAGCTTGCACATTAATCCTAGTAGTATCAAAAGTAGAAATAATCAGAAATTAGACTAATGACCAACCCTTCATTTTTTAAAGAAAACATACGTAATTAAAGGGGTCAGCCTCCACCTGATCCTCTAGAAACTCGAGAGAAATATAGTTCACTCTCAGAGTTGATACGTCAATTTGCGGAGGCTTTCCAATTCGGACACACATAAAAGTGCCAGGATATGGTGGAAGTTGAAGTTTATATTTACCTACAATAGATGGTGGAACAAATCTGCCACCTAGAAAGTGGTGTGGACCGCAAAATCTTTTGGCACACAACTTTGGAGCTGTTAAAGAAACCTAGAACATCATAAAGTTGCATTGATGATGCGGTTCACTCGAGGTGGAGAAGTATAATTTTATGACAATATCAAATTATAACTATCAAATCAAACTGTCAAGTAAAAGGTACACCAAAAGTTCCCATCAAAGTATATATACCAGCATATCAGGTTTAATGCCTTCGCCGTTGATATCTCCTTCTTCAACATGCCACCCAGATGGAATATCTATGGAGACAACAATAGGTGATTCCTGATGCATTCGATGATGATTTTGAATAGATATCGGCCTTTGGATCAGTACATCAAAAGGAGGCCTTGGGGTACCTGCAGGATTTAAAGGTATAAATCAAAGAAGAGAGAGAGAGAGAGAGAGAGAGAGAGAGAGAGAGAGAGAGAGAGAGACTCAGAAACTGAAAAAGAAGAAATTACCGCGAAATGAAAATCCAAACATCGCATCTACTAGAATATCAAAGTCATTCGATAGGTCCATGGACAGATCTTCAACCGAGAGGAAAGGAACACACGGTGATTCCAGCCACAAAATTACTACTACGATAAAAACTTCAAAAATATATAATCTAACCTTCCACCAATATTTCAACTTCAGTCCTATTGCCATACCTGAGTCACCAGACCATCATAAAGAGGTTTAGGAGCACGCTTTGGATAACAAACAGATAGTTTATATCCAAAGTGATGCAGATGACGAGCAGCTACACGACCATCACTACCATTGTTCCCAGGACCACAAATAGTAAGAACACGATTATACTCAGTTGATCTGTAGACCTGTCAAAAGATAGCCCAAAAAAAAATCATACAACTTGAATCAGGTTCTTAAATTTTTGAAAAGGTCAATATTTCTCGCTGAGAGAAAATTATGAACCATTAAGCCCCCAAAGATAGTAACGGAGATAAAAAGGGAAAACTAAACCACTATATCTCTCAACAACTAAGCAGCACAGGTATGGATACAGTTCAAGGATAACGATACAGACACGTTGACACAATAATTTTCAAAAAAACATGACACAAAAACACAAGAAGAACACTATAACAATATATATATATATATATAACACAAGAAGAACACTATAACAATGTATTATATATTGATATGCATAAATGAAAATAATTACCGTTTCTTCATTTTTTACATTACAAATACATTCATATTTTATTATATCATAACAGTAAGATATCATTTTCCACATTATACATATTATAAAAGAAATGTGAACAAAAAGTCCTAACATCTATTTTACGAGTCTCTATTCATAAACAAATTGGAAGTCTTCCATTCTAGAATTCTTAAATGATAAAATCTATAAGTCTAAAGGAGTGATTAATAGGTATAAATACACATTGTTTGTAGGGTAAAATTCACTTAACCTCCATGTGCTATGACCTGGTAGCATTATACACTGTATTTCAAAAATAGCCACATACCTCCATACAATGGTAACTTCTAACCTTAAGGCCATGTCTGTTTGGACAGACTGAATTATTTTGGATTAATATTCCCATGACTAATAGTCCTAGGACTACGAATCCCTTTGAATTGTGTATCCTATACTATATTTGGATTGAGTGAAGATTATGAGGAGAGACTAATAGTTTAGACTTTGGCTTATTCCTCCAATTTATATCCCATCCCTCTCTGTGGGATTGAATAGTACATCATATGTGGAATATCATATCCGAACGGATTATTAATCCGTACTTCAATTATTTAACCAAACATCGGATTAATAATTTTATTGGACTATTAATCCAATCCCAAGCCCATGTCTATCCAAACAAACATGCCTAACAGTAATACTCCTTAGCTACCTTTTGTTCACAGATTATTTTTTAACGTATCCCATATCACATCAACCAATTAAATAATTGATGATACAGTTACCACACAACGGGTCCCAGATGGAATGCGTCGGACTAATCCACGCCTCTTCAACCGGTAACTGGGTGCTCAGGCCCACCAGAGAACCTGCACACAAGCTCAACAGGGGAACGGGGAGTCCCCCAGGGAACCCTCCGACAAGCAAGTTAAAGAGAGAGAGAAATGTAATGTAGAGATATGAATTGGAAATAGAAAAACTTAACCTTCTTCTTGCCTTCAACATTTGCTTATATCCTTTGGTCATTATTTCGCTGTCCCTTCCGACCTGCCATCTTGGCCGAAAGTCTATGCTGTAACTTACCTTGTTCAGGATAAAGGGATGTTGTTCCGACGGAGAGGTGTTGTCGTAATAAATGCTGTGATGGGCTGCATTAATGGTGATGTGCAGTGGCAAACTTTGCAGATCTTGGTCTGGTGATGTGGCTTGTCTTTTACCTGCCATATGTCTGAATGTCATTGGCTCTTTATGCCACGTTGGATTCCAGCTGTTCTGGACTTCACCAGCTGGGTTATGTATTGGGCTCTAAGTGATGGGCTTGGGTTGTTCATAGTGGGCTATGGCCTTTATAGGCTTACCCACGTCAGTAGTCCCCCATTCCCGAGTACAGCTTTAGTCCAACGAAGGGAATACTACTGAAGAGAATGAGGGTGTTAGAGATTGGCAGGATGGAGGTTGACCGGCAGGGGTGACCGAGTGGGTGGACCGACCGCGAGGTTGATCGACCGTGAGGTGGAACGAGTGGAAGGGAAGACCATGAGGTGGACTGACCGCGAATCGTGGCCGAGTGGAAGGGAGAACCATGAGGTGGACCGACCGCGAATCGTGGCCGAGTGAAAAGGCTGACCATGAGGAGGACCAACCGCGAAGGGTAAGGTGGAGGGGCGCGCGGTTCAAGAGGCGGCGTGTCACATGGTGTTTTGAAGTAGAAAATACAGGGTAAAGGGAGGAGACAGTGGATCATGGTCATACACGTGGCAACATCTCGTGGGGGGGAGATTAGGTGTTGGATCAGAAATGAAACGATAGGTCATTATGGGTGTTAAAAAGACAGTTTTGGCGGATGTTCAAACTGGCGCAAATTAATTGCGACCCTTGGAATACGGGCAAGCCTTGGGCTTTTGGCATTATTTGATTTACCTACTTCTTTGCGAAAAATCAAAACATCCCAAGTGTTAACTCCTTTGTTGCTGACGATACACCTCTGCAACATTTTTTCAATTTCCTTGCACCTGCATCCGAAGCGATTCGCAGACATACCATAGAAATGGCCCAAGAAGAAGCTGTGAATGTCAAGATGGATCCGCTTGGTGATGATGACGCAGTGGAGTTAGCAGAGCAGTATAGGATGGAGAGGCAAATGGAGAGGGTGGGGGAACCAGTGGTACGATCTCATGCTTCCACTATGATAGCAGCTCCGAAGCCAATCAGCCAGGCGGAACCAGATCCCTGGCACACGAAGGCTGACAAATCAACGGTTACCACAGCAGAATTGGAGGCTATTCGCGAAAAATACCAGGTGCCTGCTGAAATAGAATTATTGTTGCCGACGTCAACGGAAAGGCCATCCGACGCAAGGCCGGGGGAGTTTGCCTTTACGAGGAAGCATTGAAGGGAGGACTGAGGCTACCACTGTCGCAAGTGGTGGTAGATGTCCTAAATCGTTTGGAGGTGGCACCGGGCCAACTAATGCCCAACGCGTGGAAGATTGTACTGGCCTGTGCAAGCATGTGGCCAAAGGCGAACGAGGGGGCAGTCATGACAGTAGACGAATTCTTCGCATGTTATAAGGCCTCAGGACAACAAAAGACTTGGGTGACGTTGCAGGCGGCGGCAGAGAGGGGTCTGGTGGCGGGGCTACCGTCATCAATTAAAGGTTGGAGGCCGCGGTGGTTCTATGTGTCGGGGAATAGAGGGGCTGGGGTGCGCACGGTGTGGAGAGTGCCCACCAAATCTGTAGAGCCAAAACTGGGAGCAGCGGCAGAGGAGAGAATAAAGAAAGTGAAGGCATGGCGGGAGAAGGAGGGGGTCAGGTAGGACGAACTCGTTCAACCCTAGCCTTGTTTGGAGCGAGGTTGGGTCCTCAGCCGAGCGGTGGAGATCTGAGGTGAGCTGAATTGGAGGCGAGGAGGAAAGCACAAGAGGCTGAGGACATGGCCATCCTCGCCAAAGCCAATAAGTTCAAAGAGTCCCAAGAAGACTGACCGCCGAAGCCGATTGCAAGGGAGAGGATCCGACCTCGCCCCAAACCCTTGGGAAAAAAAGACTTAGGTGGATTTGTGCCCCGACTGCCCCTAGCAGATCCTTTGAAGGAGAGGGCTTTGAAGAAGATGAAGGTGGAGGGCATGGTAAAGAAGAAGAGGAGAGTGAGGAGGAGTGAAGAAGAGCCTGCCGTGAAGAGGAGGAGGGAAGTGATAGCAGAAGAGACCAGCATGGCCAAAGAGGCAGAGAAGGGGGGAATGGAGGAGACCCCAAGAGGGGTGGTTGTCCCAGAAGTGGTGGAGATCGCCTCGGAGAGAGTGGAGGTCGTCCCAATAATAGTGGAGATCGCCTCAGAGGTGGCGAGGGTCGCCCCCAAAGTGCAAGTAGAAGGTAGGGCAACTAGCCCTGAGCCAAGGGGAGGAGAACAGCCCCAGAGGGGTCCTGCGCCCCAAGGAGGGGGTGTCAGGCTAACGACCGGGATCTACCACGCTCGCGCAGTGGCTGGGCGGCTGGAGGGAGAAGAAGGCCCAACCAGGGCAGGTGCAGATCGTCTTGTGGGGATCGTGGATGAGGCAACCGTGCGCTCAGTAGCCAAATTCAATGAGGTTGAGTTACTGAGGCGTTATGCTCTGCTCAAATGGAGGTAACCACCTTAGCAGGAGCTCTGTTGAGAAAGGAAGCAGCTGCAAAGATGAGGGCAGACGAGGCCAAGGCTCAACTTGCAAGTTTGAAGGCGGAGCGTGCAGGCTGGGAGAGTGCCCATGCTGAGTTGCGAGCGATCAAGTTGGAGTTGAAGAACGAACGCCGCCAGGTTGTGTCGCTCGAGTTCCAACTGGCAAGCGAGCAGAAGAAGCTGGGGGATGCTCAAAAGGACTGCGTGGTCGCCATCAAACGATTTGAAGAGGCTATGACCAGCAATGAAAATCTGCGTGCCCAGTAGATCAAGGAAAAAGAAGACGCAGACCAGGAAATTGCTGGGCTGCAGAAAGAGCTGGAAGATGAGCGTGTTAAGGCAATGGAGGGGAGAGAGGCCCTGCAGAAGGAGTTGCAGGAAGAGAGGGCCAAGGCGGCTGCTGAAATGGCGACCCTGCAGAAGGAGTTGGAGGAGAAGAGGGCCAAGGCGGCTGCTGAAAGGGCGACCCTGCAGAAGGAGTTGGAGGAGAAGAGAGCTAGGGCAGCTTCTGAAATGGCGGCATACCCCGATCTGTGTGTTGTAGTAGTGGATCAGTTCAAGAGGTCTGCTGAATTTCAGATGGCGGTTGATGCCGCGGTCGCCAGCAGCTTGGCAAGGGAGGAGTCTGGGGGGGCGAGCCCGTCGAGGACGACCGCTGGGGACAGGACTGAGGCAGAAATTATTGAGAGCTTCCAGCGGTCCGACTTCTATAAACACGAAATGGCTGAGTTCTGGGACAGTGGTTGGAAGATGTTCGAGCGTAAAGCTAAGGAGTTGTTCCCAGACTTAGACCTGAGTAGTGTAAAAATTGACGACGACGATGTGGCCCAAACCCCCCTGGATGAGGGTATTGAAGAAGAAGACCTCGTGTCCAGTAAGGAAGAGTAATTGAAGAAGAAGAAGAAGAAGAAGAAGAAGACCTTGTACTTAGAGTTGTTTTTGTGTGTTTGTTTTTGTTTTTGAATTACTGTAATGAACTTATGTACAAATTTGTGAATAAATAAAATTTCAGT